TGGTGGATTTCTGAGAAGCATGAAATTGCGACGATTACGCCGCGTCCCCGGGGCAAGAGTTATTTGCATTGGAATGCATCGCGCGGGCTCGGTGGCCGAAACTCACCACGTGGGACGATCTACAAGGTGTCCTGATGAACGTGAGAAGCTGCCACGGACGGCGGCCGCGTGCCGTGCGAAAACGAGCCGAGTGAAATCGCCCGGAGGGCCCGTTCCTCTCGCTGCTCCTCTCTAATAAACGAGGAAGACGTTGACGCGATGGGCAGCAGCGAGCCAACGGGACCCTCTTGCGTTTCGTGATTTTTCGGTCCGCGAACGGGAAGACATAATCGCGCCTCGCGTCCAAGTGAAGACGTTCCACGTCACGCGTTTCCGTTGCCGGCTCGCGGATGATGCGTCTCGACGTCGCGCGCTTCGCGGAGGGCCGCACGGTTTTATTACGCCGTCTTCGTGGATTCGATTCGGAGTTTGGAAGGTTAATGATAGTGGTTCGTCTCGAACGAACGGGTACAGACGTGGGAATAAAGTGGAAAATTGAGATAAATGTTCCCGGTGGGGAGGGGGGGGGGGTGTACGAATTAATTAGGCTGCAGATGTTTATGCATTTATGATACGTGTAAATATACGAGGATCTATAAAATGTGTAAAAATGAAGATATAAAATACACGTTACAAAATTTAGAAGATAAAACGTACTATAATGCACGTTTTAGTTCTGCATCTCTGTATAGAATAATATGAATTTGAATAAACATCTGCAGTCTAATGATAATATTTAATGTTCTACCTTGGCAAAATAGAATATTACGCAATAGTTTGATGGGGACAGGTAGAACGTAGGTAAAAATGAAAATATAAAATACACAAAATTCAGAAAACGAAACGTATTATATGCACGTTTTTGTTTTTCATCTGTGTATAGAATAATATGAATTCGAATAAACGTCGGCAGCCTAATGATAATCGTTCGTGTTCTAACTCGGAAAATGAATATTATAATGATTGCATTATTTCCAAAAGTTTGACGATAGCTTCTTTTTCGAAAAGAAATCTCTGAGATGGCTACCTATTAATTATTCCCAGAGAATAATATTTGTTTTCACCAGGTCACCATGAACAATTCTAAATTACGATATATAAATTAATATATCATAATAATATATTTAATGTCAATCACCTCGTACGATACAAATAGAAATCTCGAGCCTAATTCCCATCAAAAATATTTTAATTACTCTCGACTGGCTCCGAAGATCTCGGCCACTCCCAACGGGTGCAGAAAAAAAATTATTGGGAGCCCGTAATTTTTTTCTTTTTTTTGCTGTACTTATAACATCGTTCTTCGTCGAATAAATTCGAAATTGACCGGGGAGAATCTCACCGACCGAAATGAAAAAATAAAATGAAAAAACCAAGTGGGAGTTGTTCGCGTGTATCCACGGTTTCTGGAAACGCTGTTACCGCTACGAGGAGGTTGACTTATGGGATGTAAATTACGCAATGGACCAGTAGGAGGTTGGGAGTATCAAGTTTCAGCTTGTCGGCAGGTAATCGTTTTTAGTATGCCGTGATCGCGTCCCGCAGGTTGCTCGTGAAAAGATGTCGAAATAAGGATCGGGATGACTGATGGGCAGGGAACTTTTAATACGAAACACGCCGTACGATCACGGATTATATAATACAATGTGAAACACTTTGGTTCGACGAACGGTTGAATATTATTAGATTAGGTTCGCTCGTAAGCGGATCACCCTACGTTCAAGAATTGTGACTGTCAGTTACAGAGGACGGTGTCTATCAGGGAGATTTGATAGAAGTAACCCCGATATTAATCTGCTTACTAGAATTACGTAACGCTTTTTCGTGAACTATTTATGTCGTATATTATTTGTTTATGTGCAAGTTTGTTGAAAGCAATTGGACGTACTGTCGTGCATTGGGTGCACACCAGTTGTGGCATTGTTTAAATATACAGAATGACATTAAAGTATTCAAAACAGAATGCAAAATTCATAGTTTTCACTACTGAATATTTATTATACGATATTTTAATTAAATAAATTAATAGGGCTCAAGAAGGAAACGTTATCTTCTCGTTGAGTTAAATTCAACGATGAAAATAATTATACAGAAAGTTAAAGAGATCAGAATTGATAAATAATGGAGATGTTTTGGCACACAATGAAAGTCGATATACAAAATATGATAAAATGCAACTCTGGAATCTTTCCTCAGCCAGGCGTCGTCTATAATCTACCACGCAGTGAAGTCACTGCGTGTTTCCACGAACGCGACAACCTCCACCAAAGATTAAATACTCGCAGACAATTGTATTTATACTGTTAATATTTTTTGTTATTTTTTGTTACAAATATTACATAATAAAGTCAAGCATTCCTTTTGCACATGGCAATCTCTCCTCCGCCAAAGCGACGTTAACAAGGTAATACTTCTGACAATTTTTGCCCACCGCTGTGCATCATAGCACGCGAAAATGTGAAGTGCCAACGTTACGTCCAATCGTTGCATCAAAGGCCGCGTGCTTTCACATTTTTCAAGAAGTATTCTTCGAGCAGCACGATGAATCACGTTGGACAGTAATTGCCGAAGTATGCCGGCGGAGAATCAGCGAGATTCTGCGCGGCTCATTGCAGTAAAGTTGTCCCAACGAGAAGCACAGGTGAAGAAAGAGAGACTTGGCGATTGGTCGCGGGATAAAAAAATCGAAGGATCGTTAATTTCTCGCCTTGGACAACGTGACGTATAGTTTCAAGTGTAACATACCACCGGAATCGAGTCGACACTTTCACGTCCGCGCGTTTCATGCGAGTCAAGATTGTGTGCAAAAGGAATGCTTCACAACTTTGGTCCTTTTTTAAAATTATAGTGTATTATCTACATATAATATTTATTTTTATTCCCAACCACCAACAGAACGGGAAGAGTGAAAACGTAATTGGGCGCATTTAACTCTTGGTGGTAGTCAACGTGTTCGTGGAAGTAAAGCATAGAAATTATTACAATTTTTATTGAATTATCAGAATTCAATGGGACTGAAAGAAATTATTGCAAGAATTTATTTCAATACTTTCTGTTCAATAATTTCTAAACCTCCTCGATATTTCTTCTTTAATTAAATGATAGCAAGGGAATGTACCTCAACTTTACAAGATTCATACCCCTCTCTGATTTTACTCATCTCCTTTACGTTGTATCCTAAAGTATCTTTTTGTTAGACTTTTCTTAAATATAAGTTTGTTCTATTTCTAAACCTCGATATTTCTTCTTTAAACGATAGCAAGGGAATGTACCTCAACTTTACAAGATTCACACCTCTCTCTAATTTTACTCATCTATTTCACTATGTATCCTAAACTACCTTTCTATTAGATTTCTTTTAAATATAAAATTATTCTATTCCCAAATCTCCACATTTTCTTTTTAGATGATAGCAAGCAAATATACCTCGATTTTACAAGGTTCACAGCTTCTTTCAAATTTTACACGTCTATTATAAACACCCTCGTACTACATCCTCGTTCACGTTTATCAATGAGGAAAATGGCGACTAACTGATCTTGTTTCGAGTCTCCAGAAAGTCTGCGAAGTGGATCATACCAATTCCCAAATACTCGCGTACATGGCACGAACGCCAAAGTGTTAATATGACGACAAGGAAACGAAGGAACTTAAAATGCTAATGAACGAGCCACGGTCCGAATCGAGCGCGCTGGTGACTCCTCTCGTCGACACGCTCGTTCGGTACTTTCACACGTTCGAATTTATCGAGATTTAATTCGTCGTACGATCAGGTAGGCCCACTACCGGTCGTCGTTTCTGGATCTCTCAATGTAGCCAGGCGCTAAACGGTACCCTGTTCCCGTGAGTCCATTCGAGGGTCGATAATTTATACGAAATTGATACAACCTCCTGGCCCAAACGAGGCTATCGATTCATAGAATCCAGATATTAAATATCGTATGATGATATATCGATATTTTGTGTTTGACGTTTCGTTGAAAAAAAGTATTCGTTATGCCTGAATTAATGTGCAAGAGGAGGATATTTTAAGAGAATAGATAAGGAGAGATTGAGAGAAATTATACGAAAGTTTCAAGTTAGTTTTGCTGTGATAGTGTTTAGCACGTTTTCTGTAAAGTTCAATGTCTTGTAATGAGGAATTCGTGCGAAGAAAAGATGAATATTATCGAATAATGATAGTATAAGATTCAACGTCAACGCATTATTTCTCTCAATGCAGAACAAAATATCCACAAAATACTAAAACTATGCAAATTATCAAATATGTTTTTTTTTATATAAATTTGAAACCCCTACGAAAACCTCCCCGTTAACTCTTTGATAGGCTTCAAACCAACTCGAGGAGTTTCAACTTAAACTTAACAATGCAGAACCGAATCTCTCCAAAATATAGAAACTATGCAAATGATCAAATCTCTAACCTATCCTTTGTAAATATATCAAATCTGAAACCCCCCTAAATTCAAATCCCACGTCAACCCCCAACTAACTCAAAGCGTTCCAACTTATTGTTAAACTTATTTCCCGTTTCGCGAAACGCGAACACTTTCGCGTTTAAGCTGCGTGCACCGCTGTACTGGTGTGCAGAGAGGAGGATTCATTGATGAAATGGCTCGAGTCAGGTATGAGATTTTTTAGTTTTAGACGGCAAATCGATACGAAGTCGAATGAAAATGGACTACGCGAACATGTATCGCGTCAAAGTACAGAGTACTCGGAGGTATGTTTTTCTCGCGAAGAATCGACACTCTTAGACGTTAAAGGACGATCTAATTCAAACTTTACCTTTTCAACAACGATGATATTTTCATTGAGGAACACGAGGCATCAACCGTGACAAAAAGTAGTAGGAACAATAGACGTGACACGTAACGTAACGCTTTTTCGTCACACTTTTCATCAATACCCTTCCGATCTAGAAAACCCTTTCGTGTTAAAAAATCGTTTCTGTTTCGCAGGGTGGTCGGAGCAGTGGTGGTCGGCGCAGCCGTTTGCGGTCGTATTCCAGGCCTGGCGAAGAGTCAACGGGAGCAGTGCAGAAAAGCGCCGCACGCGATGCCTGCGGTGGGCGAGGGCGCGGAGCTCGGACTCCGCGAGTGCCGGCATCAGTTCAGACATCACCGCTGGAACTGTTCCCACGTGGCCAACGATCAGGTCTTCGGCCACGTGGTCGTAGTAGGTAAGGATTGTCCTGTCACCGCGGCCAGCCCGTTATTTATTATGCTCCTCGGGCGTTTAACAGTGGCGTTGCTCGCGGGGCCCCTGCCACGCCGTATGGGGCGCTCGCGGTCTGTAAAAGGCCGGCCGGCGTGTACGCGGTAATGGATTCAAGCGTCTTCGGTATTTCGAGCGCGCGACGATGTGATGCAGACTCGGATTCGCGTCGGAAGCTAAAGATGCATCGAGGAGCACTGCTAGAGCCAGTGGAATAACAAACGGTTGGAATAAACGGGATATTAAGTGAATTTTTTCATTTTTTTAAGCCCATTTTTCCGAGATTTTGTGGATTTGACGTGGTTTGGTGGGTGATAGTTGGGGTTATAGAACTGTTAAACGCAGTTAGCGAAGAAGGTAGGGGAGATAAGGGATAGACAAAGGAAAGGGGAAAAGGAATGTCCATTTTTGAAGATTTTAGGGGTTTGACATATTATGTTTGTTGATGTTATAGAACTGTTAAATGAAATTAGTAAAGAAGATAGAGAAAATAAGGGGTAGATAAGGAAAGGGTGAAAGGGAATTTCCATTTTTGAAGATTTTAGGGGTTTGACCAATTATATTTGTTGATGCTATAGAACTGTTAAATGAAATTAGTAAAGAAGATAGAGAAGATAAGGAATAGATAAGAAAAGAGGGAAAGGGAATTTCCATTTTGGAAGATTTTATTGACGTGACATGTTTGGTTAATGATACCTGGTGTTATAGACTGTTAAGTCATGGATGGTTACACAATGTGAATGTTTACGTAAAGTAATGGTATGTATTGAAGATTAGTGAATGAGAATTGAGAATGAGCAGCTTTCATTGCAACAGGACAAAGTGTTTTCCCCTCTTTCTACTTGACCTACATAGGTCAGAAGCTCTTAGACTTCATTACATGCTCTAATTCACGAAAACTCTCGAGAAAATACTAATGACTCAAGCGGAGAAATGATTCACTCGCCTATGCGCAAGACAGATGCGCAGCAGACCAAAAGCTTCGTCTGCTACATAAACGCGTAAGGTAAATGCACAGAGAACATCGTCGTTTTTCTGCTAGTGATGCTAGTAGGCAAAGAGCTTTCATGAAGTATATACACTACTGTAGGAAGTTTCTTATGTGTATACTCTTTAAGTATGCCTAGCGCAATCTTTTGTCGCCGAGGCGACTGTGCTTTGGCGGTTTGTTGTATCGTGTGAGAGGTGCTTCACTTGCAAGTTGTATTAAAGCGCTGGTAAGCCTAACGTCGGCCCTGAATGCAAGCCTGCTGGGAACATACCACGGGGCGTGTAAATGTGGGCTACGCGATGCAGGATGTTGTATAAATTAGTGTTATGGATACCCGGGTAAATCGAGTGGCCCTGGTAATGCTCTACAGGGTAAGAATTATGTGCGTGGCGATCACTTTACTCGGGTATTGATTCTACACATCAAAAAAGTATAAGGCTACATTCTTCTTCGATAACAATGAGGACATTGGTACCATCTTCAAATATATTTTGCAATTGACAAGGATAACTATAAAGATGGTACATATATTTATTTATCTTCTACTGCTGGCGATATAAATGGTTATTTTAGCTTCTGATATTTATAAAAGTGATGTTTCGTTAAAATTATCTGCTATTTAATTAAAAATTCATGTTCCCGCGAAACTAATGGCGATTCAATGTATGATATTTTCTGAGACTATTTATAAAGGTACCATTCGTCGTGACTCTACAAGGAAACACTTTTAAATTACAAGAATTACCGATGACTATCGTACGTATAGTACACGAATACTTTATTCATAATGAAACAATTCCCATTCGATAAAAACTTTTTCTTTCCATTCGTTTCGGTTTATCCACGCAAGTTTCGATGAAACGTGTATAAATGAAAGTTAAACACTCGATATAACATCGTTAACAACGCGCTTTAGTCTTGATAAACTACAGCCACGAGTGATAAACTATTTAATCGAATCAACGTGCTCGCAGGCATGATCAAAAATTAAATAAGATAAATGGCTCTTGTGTCAGACCCGTGTTTTATTGGACAGTCGAGCCTCCATCGTACTAATGGTCTTTTCATTATGGATTTCCGAGCTTTATCGAGGACCCACTAATTTACATTCTACCGTGAGATCTTTTCTAACCACGGGCCAACGGTTATTAATACGATCCCAATATCGAGTGATTTAAAGATCTGGAAAGCGATCGTTTGGATCTAAAAATTATTACTATATGTAGGTTTCGCATAATCGTGTGGGAACCAAAATCTAATTTTAATAGGGAAACTTAAATTTCTGGTTCTCCTAATCTTTCCTTAAAACTCGAAGCAAGTCTTATTTAAAAATTTATGGATTATAATCACAGCATTCGAGAAACCACGAAACTACTTCATTTTAATATCGTTTTGTGCTCTCTTTCAAATTTCCTTTTTCGTCCTGATTCATTTCAGAATCAATTATCCATCCCAAAAGGTGAAACGGACCTGTCGATTCATTGGAACCTTTTAAATGATGAAAACAAAATACCATTGTGTTTCGTGAGAGAAAACTACACATTGAGGCGAGTTTACGATAAAGCATTTCGAGTTTACACAGCGGGATGCGTGGCTTTGTAATTTATCTTCCCTTCACAAACAGGAAACGTCGATTTAACCGAGACTTCCAACAACCCCATTACTTCCCTATTTTTATTCGATTTACGATCTATACATCATTTTGGGGATTACCATGCAATTTTAATCGACTTTTATTTTAACAATTGAGCTCTTATAGTTCGTGTACCTCGGGATTGCTAAATTCATACTGTTCTAGCTGTAATCGAACTTAGCTACAGCTATTGAGGATAGTAAGGAACTAAAAAACTAAGAAACTGAGAAACTGAGAATTTGAGAAACTATAAAGCTAAGACAGTGAGAATTTGAGAAATTAATGAACTAATAAACTAACAAACCTACATACTTTATTTTTAAACTTCGGAGCAACGAATCAAGAAAAATTCTTATTACCTCATATATCAACCCCCTCGAGTTTCAGCCTCCAATAATCAAGTTGACCTAACCATACCCTCTACACCCTACAACGTTTCTCTAAACACTAAAACAAGGGTTAAGAGCATCGCCAGCAGGCGTTACCCGCCGAAGAAGCCACAGAAAGCGAAACCGTTCTCACGTGTCGGCACGCACGAAATTTCTGAAGACGGTTGCGTGGGCGGGGTACCAAACGTTCCCCTCTGGCTCACGTTTTTCGCTATTTTTTTCGCGAACACATCAGAAGACCACTTACACAAGGTTGCGACGTCTCTTCTGCGCCCCGAGCATAAGTTATACGCGTATTATGCGGCTGCCGGGCAGCCGGCAGCATCACGAAACGGTAACACGAGAAACCGGACCCGCATCTAACGCATACGCGTGCAAGCTTGTGGGTGTAGGAAGCTGCTACCACGTACAACCGTGGACCGTTTCGTCGATTTCCACCACGATAAAATCCGCTACCGCGCCACTGGTCCCTCTATCTTCTTCCTCCGCGGACGCCTAATCCTCATAAAAATGTCCGCGACGAAAAAACGCCTACGCACGGGGAACCGAACGTTCACGGAGCGTCATTACACGATGACTCCCCTCCCAGTCCCTAATTTAGGGAATTTCTCGGTAATGGAGCATTCGTCATTCGTAGGAGCACTGGTTTCGTGTATTTGTTCGGGGTGATTAGATTAAGATTAACCCTTTAGGATTAATCAGTGGATCATGGTAGGATCATGAATGCCATAACCAAGTACAACGTTTCTTGCGCCCTTTCACACGACGTGTCTGACTCGTGTTTTTCACATTTGACTCAAATTCTGTTCTACGAGTCTCACAAGTTGTTATAGGTTAAAGGGTTAATTAGTAGAAAAGGAACTTGGTTTCTTGGTTTCGTGGTTTTATTAGTTTGTTGGTTCTATAAGTTTGAAAATTTAACCCTTTGCACTGGAGAGGTGACTCTCAGTCGCCATTAAGTTTCACGCAGCAAATCTACGATACCTAATGTTTCCTTAGGTTTAATTTCTTTGGAGCACGAAGTGTCAATAAAATGATTGTCGGCGAGGTAAAGGTGACTTTATTCTCAAATCTAGATAGCTTAGAATTCATGGCAATAGAATGCTAAGACACATCACGAGTTGCTGGTAGATACCAGAAAAAAAGGCCTCGAGTGCAGAGGGTTAATATTTTCTATAGGGTCAATCAATCCATGCCAATTTTGTTACCTAGTTCAATAGCTATATTTTTCTGAAGAAAGGTAGCACAAAACTTTGAACAGCTGTAAAACCGACAATTTTCAAAATATGTCAAAATCCTTTGAGATACGTTCGAATATTACTAAAGACAACATATCCAAATTTTGTCAAAATCTGAGATGTTACTCCAAAAAGTGTCCTTATATTGACTAAGAAACTAAGACACCAAATAAAATAAATTAAACTTCTCTCGTTCCTTCTCTAACTTTCGTATCCTTTTTCCTCGACACCCAGTGAATTCCCCCCAAAATTTTCCAAGAGTATCCAGAGTAGTCTCCAGACAGTCTCCAGAGTAAATCGATATTAAACAACCCGAGGTTGCGTAGCGACAAATGGCGAAAACGATTCGTCTCGCGGACAAGATAATCCGCGGAGTCCCGTCAGCGGAAGCTGACGTGATCCGCTCGCATAAATATCGCTAAATACGGCGTATTTGTCATGCGGGCATTAAAAACCATAAGCACGGACCACGGAGGCCACGGTCGTCATTGAACGCTCCATCTCGCGGCGTTGCAGCCAGGCGCACGCACCGCGATTTCTCATGATTAACGCAGGCGGGATTAAGCCTCCGCGTGGGAAAAATCGAGAAAGCCGAATTCGAAAGAATCGCAGCCAGTTTGTCACGTGGCGTGTGATTCGAGCTCCTCGAATCGCCGCGAATAAAAGTAATCGCGTCTTCGGGGGTTGATCTTGAAAACGACGGGATTATCGAAACACTCGCGCGATGGGGGTCATTTTTATACGGTTGCGCGACGAGTCTTTGTGGAGGACGACGAGGTGGATTTGCAGGTTTTATACGTGCAAAGTTTGTGCGGATGATTTGATGATACTTGTAATTATTATTGTTATTAATAGTATGTCGATTGTCGGTAGCTGGTGTTAATTTTTTTTATCAGGGAGATCATTTCGAGGCAAATATAATACTTTTCGGGGGGTGGGGGTGGGGGAGGAAGGGGGCTATTTGGTATTTTTTTGTGGAAATGAGATTGTAGTCTACGAAGAGAGAAATTTTTGTAAAGAGTCTTTATGGAGTGATGGTCGATAAATTAAGCATACTCTGGGAATTCTTTTTCGGAGTCTATAAAATAAAGAACGATTCTAATGATTTTCTACTAACAATACTGTTGGGGAAGAGTATTGAAATATTTTTATAATAAATATTCTTTTTAAAGTATGCTTCATTTTTCGGCCCTCACACCAGAAGGATCTCTTTAAACCTTGAAGGAATTTTCCTAACTTTTCTTCCACGAACCACAGTTGTTGAACTATTAACCCTTAAATGGACAATGTTGTTTTTAAACAACATACTAAACATCACAGATAAAATTGACCTTCTTTTATTTTTTTGTAATTCTGACAACTAGTTCTTATTTCTGAACGAATTTTGAAAAGTATAGTAAATTCATGTCTAGATTTTTTTACTTATTTTTCCTAGACAGTAATACATGTCTATTACACAAATATATTTTTTTTAAAACGTGAAACAAAAATC